AAGATTTCAAAAATCTATATTCGAAATATAGGATCTTAAACAATTCTCAAAGATCAAAAGATCAAAATGTTCTCTTTTGAATAGTCAGATCTGATTCTAAGATAAGGGAGATGAATATCTAGAGGGGACCCCTATAATTTTTTATTTCTCCCAGGTTAAGGATCTTCTTTTAGAAATTCTGTTTTTTCGGAAAATGTGTCCAATTTTGAGAATTTCAATACTGTTATAAATCATTGCAACTTTTTTTTCTTCAAAAAAAATTATATTCTCTTGGATGACTTCATCTTTTTTGCTTAAAGGTTTGCTTAAGGGGGGACATGAAAAAAAATAATGTTCTCGAAATTCCGTTCAAAGATGCCTCTCGAGGAGTTGAACTTGTGAGGGCGTTGATTGAGGGTGCGGCGCCGCTACCGACTGAGCCACGCGGGCAAAGAGAAAGCGCACACCCGATTGCATACATAAAGGCGAGGACGACAGCTGTACGCAGAGTGACATTAAGCGTTGTACACCGTGACGGTAGAATGCATACTCTAGCTACAAAAAACTACGAAAAATCTCCTGTCCCCCCCCACCTTTAACTTCCTGAGAGTGAAAAAAAATTTTTTTTTGAACATTTAATTTTTGCACATCTGGTAAACAAAAACAAATTGGCTAAAAACCCAATAATTACACTTATCTACGTATTCAAATGTCCTCTATAATTACACTACCATACTTCTAAAAGTTCCATAAATGGGCCTATAAAAAGGAATTGAATTTAGATTTTTTTTTCAATTTCCAAATTGTTTTTCTGAGTTTTAGAATTTGATACACTTTTTTGAATTCAATTTTAAAAAATTGAAAATTCAAAACATTTAATAGTTTTGAAAAATTGCAAAACCTCGAAAATTTGAAATTTTTCTAGAAAATTCGAAAAAAGATTTTGGAAACTTTTTCTTGAATTTTCACCAAAACTGAAAATTTTGGATCACTAGAAATGCTGCAACTACAAAAATCTAGATTTCTAAATTTACTTTATGGAAATTTACATATCGTAAAACATGTAATAGAAGGGCCCCCCTAACTATTAACTTTGAGCCCATTTATCTCGGTCCCTGACAAAGATATAAAAAAAAGATTAACTAATAAAATATTGATGATATCATGATAAACAATCTGTCAGTTGACCGCTTTTTGATATATTTCAAAAGAAGTGAGATATATAGGCTCAAGAAAGACGGCCCGAGTGGCGTTCTATTAGAGTGTTTACTGTATTTTTTTTTGAACTTTTTTTCATTGTTCATTTTCCGTCGTATTAGAGCCATCTGTGTATTGCCTAATCCTCACCTGTCCCTTTTTTCCTACAGTGCTAATAAGCAAAAAAAAAAAATGAGACTAATTAAATTTCCCCGGTTTTCTTCCCTACCTCCTATCATTAAAAAGGGATTAGATACCTGAACGGAACCATTTCCCCTCTATTTTTTCCTTGGTTGCTCTTTAGATGTGCATTTTATCCTTTTAATTATAAGCCCAACAATATCGGATTCCAATTTTTAAGGTACATTAGAAACTCCAAAAATGCCAAAGGATCTCATGAAGAGACGGAATGTGGTAAGTTTTGATTATTTCAAAATTATAATTGTGTGAAATTTGAAGACGTTTTGAATTTAAATTTTAATAAGATTTTGGCTGACTGAGCTTATTTTCGAAAAAAAAAACGGACTGATTGGTCCACGGTAAGATACCAACGGCCTCAATCACGGCCGGCCGCGTGCCTGTTACCTACAGCCTTAAGAGAGATCATGAGTCTCAAAAAAGGAATTTTTCAAATTTTTTAAATTTCAACATTTTAAATAATTTCCCTCACCTCTTCATTTTCCTTTCCAGAACTCTCCAATCAAATTCCATCCGTATCCACGTCACCAGGAAACCGGTATCGAGATTGACGGCGTTGAAATTCCCGACGACGACATCATGGAAATGAAAATCTCGGATAATGACGTGCCTCATTCAGAAGCCATGGATCTCATTTTTCCAGCAAGTCTGTGGGCCGAGTTGGAGGTGTTGGAAGGTGGATCGGGTGCATCGGAGAATCTAGAAATGACAGATTTGACTGAAAAAAGGCAGGATGTGGACTCAGAAGACGTCATGGACATTTCGGCGAAAGAAGGTGTCACGAAGAGCTTCACAGAGAGGCCAGGCCATCTTTTAGAGGAAGGAGAATACGAAGAAGTACAGAAAATGAGCTCTATTGCATTAAAGGGAAAACAAGTAACATTTCAGGGCCAATCGCTGACAGAATTGTTCCAAAAGTATGGAATGGTGGATGATGAATTCGACGAGGATTGTCCGATGCCACCAAATGTGACATGTGACTGGGACCCATTTGAAATCAAATCAAATAACAAAAAATCGGAATCTGATGTAATAGCTGAATATGAAGCTCTAGTTCAACCGAAAATGAGATCTGGAGGAAAGAAGGGGAGAAAATTGATGTGACTCCAGAGAGGTGGGTAAGAAGACAATGCGCTCTATCGAACATCTTGAACAACTCAGCTCCTGGCAAAGTTACAAAAATGATGACAAGTAGCAAAATGTGTGAAATAACATTTTTCACATTCTATTAGCGAATCACTTTCTCGAATTTTTGCCAGAAGCTGAGATAATTAGGGCCAAAGAGGAGCTTTGTCACTTTGAGTCGAATTATCTTAACTCCGGGAAAAATTGACAAAATATTAACAACTAATAAAATGTGTAAAATAAAATTAGCCACATTTTATCAGTTGGCGGTTTTTTTATATCTTTACTATGGGGCAAGATAATTGAGGTCAAAAACGATAAGGTTGCTTTATGAGGGGTATAAAGGACATTGTCCCTTCGACCTTAATTATCTCATCTCATAAAAAAGCTATCAAAATATCGACAATTAATAAAATGTGTGAAATTAAATTTGCCATACTTTTTTAGTTGAAAGTTTTATGGTATATTTGTTAAGAACTGAGATAATTAGGGTCAAATCTACGAGCGATCCAAGATAAGGTTATGAATGGTCTTGTCACTTTGACACTCATTATCTCATCTCTTGTAAAAGCTATCAAAAAATTAACAACTAGTAGAATGTTTAAAATAAAATGATAATCGTTTTATTAGTTGACAGTTTTATGATACCTTTGCTAGGAAACGAGATAATTAGGGTCCATGATACCAAGGTTTGTGCAGACTGTCTTTTGTGAACTTGTCCCTTTGACTCTAATTGTCTCATCTTATAAGAAAGTTATCAAGATACTGACAACTAATAAAAGGTGTAAAATATAAATTATAACCGTTTTATCAGTTAACAGTTTTATGATACCTCTGCTAGGAACTGAGGTAATTAGGGTCCAAGTGGCAAACCTTGTCGCCCCCCTGGAAAAAAACCCTTGCTTTCGTTAACCTCAATTATCAGGTCTTTTAGAAATACAAAACTAATTAGATAACAATCAAATGTGCAAGTTTTTTTTTGTATTTTTGGTAAAAACAGATATAATTAGAGTCATTTTCGCCCTAACCTTGTACAAGGTAGGAATTGAAATCCAATCCTCTTCTCCAAACTTTTTTCTCATATTTCAATTTCCACTTTTCTATGAATTTCTAACTTAATTATTACAACATGTACTGTAGATTAAGCGGAAACAAATTTCCATCTTCCCAAAGTTTTCCAAAGAAAAATGTATACTTGCCAATTATGTATCCCTTTTTTTCCAGATGACGTCTTCCGAAACATTTCAACGCCTTCTTCTTCTTCTTCTTCTACTACGTCCTTTTTTTGTACCTCCTGTATTCCTCTTGGATATGTTTCCATAACTGTACAACGATCTCTTTTTCTTTTTTGCCCGAAATCCCATCATTTTCGTATTGCATAAACGTTTTGAATACATTTGTCTTCTAGAAGATTTGGAATTTTTGATTCTCGATGGAGCGCGTTTTCATGTTTCGGGCATCTGAAATTTGGAAAGTTGAAGGGAAGAGTTTTAATAGAACCCCACACAAACGGTCAACTTTGAGCTCAATTATCTCGATTTCTGTGAAAGATATTAAGAAATGTTCAACTGATAAAATATTAGTAATATTATGATAAATAATTTGTCAGTTTACATTATTTTGATATCTTTTACAGAAATAGATATAATTAAGCTTGAAGTTGCCCGATTGGGAGGGCTTCTGTATAGAAGAAATACGGTAATCTCTAATGAAATACAGTAGGCAGGGCTGACTAGGCTAGGCTGGAAATTTTGGATCACGAAACTGTCATTTCTATCTATTTTTGATACTTTTTGGAGTTGATATCATAGATATTGCTAAATTTGATAGTTCTAGAATTTTTATCAAATTTGTAGAAAACAGATTGACCTTCAACTATTTTTCTGAAACGCCGGTATTCTTGGCCATTTTTTGACTTTAAACCTAATTATCTCGGTTCCTAATAAAGATATCAAAAAGTTGTAAACTACAAAACTGTGAGAAATTCAATTTCAAACATTGTATCAGTTGACAACTCTTAGATACCTATTTTAGAAGCTGAGATATTCATGGTTAACTCAAGGTTAAAGTAACCAATGCAACATCTAGACTTTAACCTTAACTATCTCAATTCCTAGAAAAGTTATCAAGAAGTTGAAAACTACAAAAATGTGTAAAATTTAATTTTAAAATTCTATCCGTTGACAACTTTTTGATATCTTTTCTAGAAACGGAGATGATTAGAGTTAAAGTAAACAATGTTTTTTATCCCATGTTTCTCATGCTATGACAAATTCAAAAATATGCATCATGCGTTTGTTTTTTTTTTATTTTTCGAAATCCATACAAAAACCAGTTTTCCCACAATCACCTGCTCGTAAATCCCCCATTTGTCATAAGTCCCTTTTTTGGAACGATTCGAAAAAGTGAATTATCGTATTTCCACCGATACCGTCAACTTTGAGCTCAATTATATCGATTCCTGTGAAAGATATCAAAAAACTTTTAACTGATAAAATAATAGTGATATAATGATAAATAATTTATTAGTTGGCAATGTTCTGATACCATACACAGAAATCGAGATAATTGAGCTCAAAATGGACGGTTTGGGTTGACTTCTATTAGAGGGAATACGGTATTTTGCAATTTGTTTTCTTCGTCACCCAACGTCCAAACCTCAAAAGTTCCATAGTTCAAATGTCTGCTGAAAAAAAAGGTACTCCAGCAGCAGTGACGTGTTTTTTTGGGAGGGGTTAAAACAGGTACTATTGGATAGGATAAACAATTGTGTCAATGGGTGGAAACGAGGAAAAAGATCATGGAAGAACCGGGAAGAGAGTAAATAAATAGTTGAGGTATTTCTATGAACTTTCATTCTTTATTCTCTATATTTTTCGGTGGCTAACTATTTTTCTGAAAGTATAGATTTCCTATAATCTGAATTTTCGGATCTTCGGTCTTCTGACAATCTGTCTAGCCTAACAATCGAAGAACCATTCTAGAAGGTTCAAACGTTTTGAGGTCTAGGCTTTTGAATTTCAATCAATCTACAATCCTTACAATCTGTATTCGACCTAGTTTAAAAAATGTTGTCCTTATAATTTTTGATGCTAAAACTTGGAAGGAAGGCTGAGGTTAACTGTAACTCTTCTAGTCAGATATAACACGTAGAAGTAAGAAATTCTAGCTTAAATTTGCCAATTAAGGCCAATTCCGATTGCTTTGTTGATGTTCTCTGTGGCTTGTCTCTATCGAAATGACATCATCTATGTAGATGGGATGACTAGACCTAGATATAGTCATTGTATTGGTATTTGAACTTGGACGAATAGTCTTTTGATTCTTTTCCCGAGTGTTCTATTCGATTCGGCTAATACGATGATTCATTTTTAGTAATTTTCAGCTACCAAGTTGAAAGCTTAAGATAGTGTTTTCAGAATTTTTCAATTTTCCTGAGACTTTCAGAGAATACTGAACAAAACAAGAGCTTCAATTTTACAGTCGACAACATTTTTGAAAAATCAGGCCCTGAGAAGATATGCCACGTGGAAGTGCGCTTCTGTTTTGGCGCCTGCTCCCTCGCTCGGTTGGGCGCACCTCAAGGTATGCCCTCTTCCACGTGGCATATCTCTTCAGGACTTGATTTTAAAAAGTTGTCAACTACAAAAAAGTTGTCAACTACAAAATTAAAGCTATAGTTTTGTTTAGTACATTCTGAAATTCTCTACTCAAACCGTTAATGTAAAAATCCTTTTTGAACTCCTCAAAACTTCCAAATTTGAGTCTTAAAATGACAATTTTTGGATTTCGGTTTTCAATGTTTAAGGCTATTTTTAAAAATTCTTTCGATGATTTTTTGTCACTTTTGTAGTTCAAATATCCAAGTCACAGTCTGTTCTGTGTGGTCAAGAGGGATAATTGTCCGAGAAGCAAGGCGAGAAAGTGAAAAATAGTTTCAATTCTGTCTCATTCTCTCCCGGGGGGGGGGGGGGAACATCCCCCAACAACTTGTTTCCCTGTATGTTTGTCTTGCAATTGTCTCCTATTTATTCCTCCTTTTTTCTTGATCCTTCTATTTCTATTCTCTAAACTTAGTCGTAACTTATTTTCTATTTTCTCTCTGTTGTGTTCTGTTTTCATTTCATTCGTCAAGTGGTTGAAAATTAGAAGAAGGCAACAGTTGGTGTTGGTCAAAAAGAGATGAGTCATTTGAAAAGAATTCAGGGAGAGAATGGAAGAGAACTTCAAATAATTGGGTATATTTAAAGCTTCGAAATTCAAAATTTTTTAGGTTAAAAAACTTTTTGAAAATTTAAAAAATTTGAGTTTTAGGTTTAACTTTTATTTAATTTAAAAATTTTTTTAAATTTTTCACTTTAAAAAAAAATTTTCCGAATTTCTCATAGGAAAAGTTTCTGATTTTCAATTGAGTTCTATTTGAATTTGTTCATGAAATCAACTTTTCAAAAATTTCCTATAATCTGAAAATTTGAATTCTGAAGTTCTGTAGTTTAGAAATGTTATAAAAACTAGAAAAAATTATGCACTTGTAAAATTTTGAAATTTTGGAGTTTAGAATTTTTGGGTATTAAGGAAAATCAGAAATGGTGAGACATCCAGGAGCTCCAGAAAATTCGAATTACAAGAAATTCCAGAAAATTGAAGAAATTAGGCATTTTTGAAAAATCTAGATAATTCAAAAAGCCTGGAAATTCCAGGAACTCCATAAATTCAAAATTTAGAATACCTTAAAGGTGGGGGGGGGGGGGATATGAGAAAAATAATGTTGTCGAAATTCCGTTCAAAGATGCCCCTCGAGGAGTTGAACTTGTCGAGGCGATGATTGAGGGTGCGGCGCCGCTACCGACTGAGCTACGCGTGCAAAGAGAAAGCCGCTGCCCGATTGCATACATAAAGGCGAGGACGACAGCTGTACGCAGAGTGACATTATGCGTTGTACACCGTTACGGTAGAATGCATACTCTGGCCCCAAAAATCCCCCGTAAAATCTCCTGTCCCCCCACCTTTAAAACCTGTAATAGAAGGGCTCCCACACTGTCAATTTTAAGCTCAATTATCTCGATTCCTGTGAAAGATATCAAAAATGTGTAAACTGATAAATTGTTGATTGTATGGTGAACATTTTACCAGTTGAAAATTTTTTCGTATATTTTACAGGAACTGAGATAAATTAACTCAAAGTTTAAAGTTAGGGGGAGCCTTCTGATACAGATTTTACGGTATTCAGAATTTTCAGAATTTCGAAAAAGTTTAGAAAATCAGGAATTCCAAAAAAATATGGAAATTCCAGAAAATTCCAAAAATCTCAAAAGCACAACTTTTTTGAACTTTACCCTCTCTCTCTCCGAAAATTTTGTTTTATTGGTCCAATAAGAATCTCAAGACAACAAAATTTTTTTTGTTGTTTCTCCCTTTCTTCAAAATGACTCATCAACCTCGGGACCCATTCAGCTTCATCTCTCAACTTTTCCACTTTTTTATACATTTTCTCTGCGTCTCTCGATTCTCTATGCTCTCTCTCTTCTCTTATCACTCCCTCTCCCTATCAATTATCACCTCTCCTTCTCCTAATCACACCAATCTCACGATATCCTCGATTTCTCATGATGTGTGCGTGTGTTTCTCTCTGCGTCTCTCTAAACTCTCCACTCTCTAATCTTTCTAGCTCCGCCCATTGACATTGGGGAACAGCAGAGAGATTCATTCGGAAACCACTATCCAGAAGGAATAGATCCTCGATTCTTTTCTCTGCGTCTCTAGTCTCTATACCATATACGGATATCTCTTATTTTCCTTTCTTTTTTCCCATACAATTCAAAAGTTGTTTAAGCATTTGGGTCGGGATAAGGGGGGCCCGAGATAATGGGATAACTTTCACTTTTTTGGGGTCATTCGGGGGATTACACATTTGTTTGTTTTGGTTTTTTTGAAGATTGACACTAATTATCTGGATTCTTACCTAGTAAAATGTTAAAATCAAATTTTTAATACCTTTTACAGGAGCCAAGATAGTTAGAACCAAAACAGGTGGTATTTTACCTTGTTTAATTTAAAACTAATTATCTTAATTCCTAGAAAAGATATTGAAAAATTGTCCATTAGTAAAATGTTTAAAATTAAATTTTACACATTTTATCAGCCAACAAATTTCTGATATCTTTAACAGGAGCCAAGAAAATCAAAGTCAAAGCAGGCGGAATCTTTTTCGACCCCATTTTTACCTTGTTTAGTTTGACATTAATTATCTCAATTTCTATTTAAGATATCAAAAAATTGTCTACTGATAAAATGTTTAAAATTAAATTTTACACATTTTATCATTTATCGAATTTCAGAAATCATTTACAGGATCCAAGATATTTGGGGTGCAATGCAATCATCCTTGTCACCAACGTTTTTTTTGAACCTAGTTATCTCGGTTCCCAAAAAAGATATCGACTAATTGTTAACTGATAAAATGTTTAAAATTGAATTATACACATTTTGATAGTAGTTTCTTCTCTAAATCTTTATTACGGACCTAGATAATTAGAGTTTAAGATACCAAGATTTTGCACATTTTTATTTCAAGAGAGCCCTGTTTGGATAGCCATTTCAATCCTTATTATCTTAGTTCCTAGAGAAGATATCAAACATTTGTCAACTAGTGAAATGTTTTTCAGATTCTGTTTAACATTTTATTAATTGCAACCATTTTTGCATCTTCATCAAGATTCGATATAATTAGGGTCAAAGTCAACACCATCCAGTGCTTCAAAACGACGCTTTAACTTTATTATCTCTGTTCTTAGCATAGTAACTAAAAAGTAGTCAACTAATAAAATGTTTAAAATTTGATTTTACACATTTTTGTAGTTTACAGCCTTTCGATATCATTTACAGGAAGCAAGATAAACCGTGTCAAAGTAATCTAGACACTTTTCTGGTGACTTCAGCTGGCTTGACTCATCTAACCCCTTTAAATGTTATCTAATTCCCCCAAAAATTTTAAAACCAGAAAATCTGTTGAATCATCAAAAACCGCAAAACCATAAATTACCTCGACTATCCAAACGGTTCATCTCCTTAGCAGCAACCTATCGGAACGTCAGAATCTTCTTTTCATTTCAACAACTCCTTCTTCTTCTTCCTCTTTTTACCTCCCACTTGAGACTTCTATACAAGGTCGAATCAAACGTTCATCTCCTTTTTTTTGCATTCCTTGTAATCCATTTAAGTTCCTCTTTTGATGGAAAAACCGCAAATGGTTCTTTGAAATTTCATTGGGGACTCCAATTTGTAGTATAGGTGATCTGTAAGTTTAGGATATTCCAAACTTGGGTCCTCCTTTCTCAATAAGCTTGAAACTTTCAGATTATTCTAAACACAAATAGAGCTTTAATTTTGTAGTTGACAACTTTTTTGAAAAATTAGGTCCAAAAAAGATATGAGACGTGGAAGCGCCCTCATCTTCGGGAGCCCGCGCAGTCGGCTGGGAGGATAGAGCTCTTCAACGTGGCATTACTCCTTAGGACCAATATTTTTAAAAAAGTCGTCAACTACAAAGTTGAAGATCTACCTTTGATTAGTATTCTCTGAAAATTTCAAACAATTTGAAAAAAATCTGAAGGCATTTTTTAGAGATTCGAATTTATCCGATATTTTTAAGTTCGGATCATTATAATTTTGCTAAATTAGACTGATTTAGGTCAAAACAAGATTGATCAATTGGAAATTTTTTGAAGATTTAGATAAATTAAAACCATGTCTAAATTTTTAAGCAAATCGGAAAGATTTTAGAACTTTAAATGAATTTTGGCATAGTTTCTCTAATAGAAGCTCACCCCAACCGGTAATTTTGAGCTCAATTATCTCGATTCCTGTGAAAGATATCAAATATTGATCAACTGATAATCTGTTTATCATGATATAGAAAACAGTTAATCAATTAACAGCTTCTTGATATCTTTTATAAGAACCGAGATAAAATATTAGAGGAAATACAGTAAATTGGCGAGCTCTAACTCAGCTCATTGTGAGCCAATTTGGCTCAAATTTGCACAGATTTGTTAAGGATTCGAAAATTCGTCATTCCAGGTAACCGTTACCCTGAAATACGACCAAGACTCCGGGATACGACCTTCTCAAAAAAGAATTTTCAATGAAAATTCAAATGACATCATCATCAATACTTTCCCTCCATTTTCTCCCACACCCAATCGTTTCGCAACAAAATTCTCCTCAAATTTTCCGCCCCGCGTGCAGCAAATCTGTGGTTTTTGGGGAAAGTAAAAAAGCCGTCAGCAGGCACAGGCAAAGTGATTTGTCAAAAAGTTTAGTCGTCGTGTGTGGGTGGTGGTGTAATTGTTGTGTCTTCTCCTTTTTTTCACTGTCCCTTATACGTACCGTCCATTCTTCCCATTCTTCCCATTTTCTCTCTCTCTCTCTCTCTCTCTCTCTCTCTCTCTCTCTCTCTCACACACACACACACACTCTAATCGTTTTTTCTGCTATTACGTCCCTTCACATCCCTAAAACGGTCAAGGTTTTATTGCCCGATCCCTTCCCTTTTTTCCTGGCCATCATCTTTTTACAAAGAATTCTGTTTGTCTGTTTGTCCGGATTACCAGAAATTTTTCTTTAATTGCGAGAACCTCATTCTTTTTGTCCCAATCTCTCCCACCGTTAAGAAATTGTTTTTTTGAAAACTTGATCTTTGAGCTCAATTATCTCAATTCCTATAAAAGATAGCAAAAAAGAAGTTAACGAATAAAATGTTTATCATTAAATCAGCTACATTTTATCAGCTGACAGATTTTTGATATCTCTCATAGGAAGCGAGATAATTAAGATCAAAGAAGCATGTGTAAGATCAATCAGAGCTAGCCCACCCTATGAGCGCACTTTGAGCATAACTATCTCAACTTCTGTAGGAGATATCAAAAATCTGCAAACTACAAAATGTTGCTGATTTTATGAAAAATATTATATCAGTTCACAAATTCTTGATATCTCTCATAGAAACCGAAATATTTGAGCTTGAAGTGCGAGTTTAGAATCAATCAGAGCTACCGTATTTGCCCAGCACCCTGTACGTGCAATTTGAGCTCAATTATCTCGGTTCCTATGAAAGATATTAAAAAGGAGTCAACCAATAAAATGTTCATCATAAAGTCAGTAACATTTTATCAGTTGAAACATTTTTGTTATCTTTTATAGGAACCCAGATAATTGAGCTCAAACCGAGATATTCGAGCTTGGCTGTGCTTCCTAGTGTCCCGATGTCCGCTAAATTTCTTTTTTAGTCCAATACTGACTAGATGTCATCCAATTTTTCCCCGTTTTCTGTTCCCTCCAGTCCTAATTTCCTAAACCTTTCGTTTTCCAGAAAATGCGATTGCTAATTCTCAACCTATTTTTTGTTGTCTGGGGAGTTTGTGCTCAGAGCAGCACAAATTCAGCCATCGTCACATCGTCCACTACGGCGGCGCCAATCAAGTGAGTTTTTAAGTTTTTTTCCGAAAATTCAAAAAGCCCGGGAACATTTAAAAATTTAAACATTTGAAATTTCCATCTAGATTTGAGCAAAAACGTTTCACATGGAGCGATTTCGAATCTCTAAAAAATGCCTTCAAATTTTTCCAAGTTGTCTGAAAATTTCAGAGTACACTAATCAGAAGCAGGGCTTCAATTTTGTAATTGACAACTTTCTTGGAAATTTTTTCCCTGAAGAGATATGCCACATAGAAATGAACACACCAGGAGGTGCACCCACCAACGCCCACCGGGGGTAGGCGCTTCCACGTGGCATAACTCTCTAGGACCAAATTTTTCAAAAAAGTTGTCAACTACAAAAATGAAGCTCTATTTTTGTTTGGTATTTTCTGAAAATTTCAGACAAATCGAAAAAAAATTGCAGCAGAAAAAGAAGCTCAAAAATGTATTAATTTTCCACTAATATTTGGGAAATTCAGTCCAGATTTTCCACTTTTTGATTTTCAAAAAATCAAAAATTAAAAAGATCTAAACCCACCCCTTTTCTAGACCAGCCACCTATATGCTTGTCGCTCCGGCAGTGGTCCGTCCCAATCAACCGTACTCAGTTTGTATGAATCTTCTGAAGCCGCCGACTGACGAGGATATGATCGTTCGGATTGAAGTTCGAACCGAGCAAAACGAGACGATTGCGGCGAGAGTGATGAGCAATCTGAAACCAGGAGTTGCTCAGACTGTAAGCCTTTCCGAGATGCCCGCTCAGTCATTGACACCGGGACAGGGGTATAAGGTAAGATTCTAAAATGTGGTCTCAATAGAAAAATGGTCATATTTTGTCAGAGTAGCTACAAGAACACTTCAAACTTTTTCAATTTTATTGAAATTTTCAGAATATACCAGACAAAAATAGAGTTTTGATTTTGTAGTTGACCACTTTTTTGGAAATTTCGGTCCGGAGGAGCTATGCCACGTGGAAGGGCCCGTCTCCGAGCCACCAGCGCGGGCAACAGAGAGTTAGGGCTCTTCGATCAGAAAAATTATGAACTATACAAATGAAGCTCTAATATTGTTTGGTACATTCTGAAATTTTCAAAAAAAAATCGGAATAGTTGAGCATGGGTTTTCGCAATTTCAAAGTTACGGATTTCGAAAAAGCGGGCAAGCGGGCGGTCATTTTTAAGCAATTACAAAAGTACTTCAGAATTTTAAAATCTGTCTGAAATTTTCAGAATGCACTAAACAAAAATAGAGCTTTAATTTTGTAGTTAACAAGTTTTTTTTTTTGGAAAACTAGGTCCAAAAGAGATATGCCACGTTGATGAGCTCCCTCAGAGCCATCGGCGCGCGCAAGCGCAACTCAAGGCTCTTCCTCGTGGCATATCTCCCCAGTACCAAAATTTTCAAAAAAGTTGTCCACTACAAAATTAAAGATCACATTATGTTTAGTATAGTCTGAAAATTTCAAGCCATTCCCTTCAGCCAATTCGCTTCAAATACTCCCCCAAAAATCTCATATCTTTTGATTAGGTTCTGGAATTTTCATTCAAATCCGGCACAGTTAAGCATGATTTTCAACTGTTTCTGGGCTTTCAAAATTGCTAATTCAAACAAAAACTTGCAGCTCTACATTCGTGGTGAGACGCTCAACTCGGAAGTGCTCTTTGAAAACGAGAAAGAGCTGAAATACGATCAAAAAGCGCTCTCTGTCTTCATCCAAACCGATCGAGCGATTTATCGACCGGCTTCTCTCGTCAGATACAGAGCAATCGTTGTCAAATCAGATCTAAAACCATACGTCGGAAATGCTACCATCAAAATTTTCGATCCAAGCAGAAATTTGATCTCTCAAACTATTGGAGTGTCATTGGATAGGGGTATGTTAAGTGGTTCAGAAAATAGGTCAGCTTTGAACTCAATTATCTTGGTTCCTATAAGAGTTATCAAAAACTTTTTAAGTTAAAATTGGTATTTTTTTTTTGAAATTAGAGTTTATCAGATTTTTTGAAAAATTTCCAACATTCTAACTTTGGTCTATATGAAGCCATTTGGCTTAAACCTAGACATGCCAATTCGAACATTTTTGAGAATTTCAATTTTCTTTTAAAACTTCCAGGTGTCTACAGTTCCGAACTACAACTCGCTGAAGAAACCCTTCTGGGAGACTGGACGATTGAAGTGGAGACGTCGAATGGGGTTCAGGACAAGTCTTCGTTTACTGTAGACACTTATGTTTTGCCCAAATTTGAAGTTAACATCAAAACGTCCTCTTTCATCACTATCAACGATGATTTGTCCGTTTTTGTGGATGCTAAGTGAGTTTTTTGAACGGTTTTCGAAGAAGAAAATTGGTTGAAGGGTTTGGGTTAATATTTTTAGACTAGACTAAACAAAATTAGAGCTTTACTTTTCAAGTTAACAACTTTTCTGAAAAACCTGGTCCTAGGGAGATATGCCACGTGGAAGAGCCCATACCCCCTGGTGGGCGTTGGTGCGTGCGCCTCCTGGTATGCTTATTTACACGTGGCATATCTCCTCAGCACCTAATTTTCCAAAAAAGTACAAAAAGATAGCTCAGGTTCTGTTTAGTATATTCGGGAATTTTCAGAAAAATCGAAAAAAAATTTGAAGCACTTTTATAAGCACTTTCGCAAACCTGACTAACTAAAACTAATTTTCAGATACACTTACGGAAAAGGAGTCGCCGGAAAAGCCAAAGTCTCACTGGAACTTCCATGGCACAGATGGCACGCTATGGTACCAGTGGCCATTGATGAGAGTGGAAAGACAACGAAAGAAGAAGAGTTGATGGTGGAGAGAACGGTGAAGTTGAACCGGCAAGGAGAGGCGGCGGTAGTGTTTTCGAATGATGAGCTGAAAAGGCACAAATTGTTGCATGTGAGTTGGTTTTTATTGGTTTTTCAGAAATTAGGAATAATAAAGGTAAAAACGGAGAAGAATAGCGGGGGTACGACGAATTCGAACGTTTTCAAAATCGAACAGACCTAAAGTCGAACTGATTCAAATCAGAACAGTGTGTTTCTCGAACAAGTATCAAAACAGAACAAGGACAAAATCGAACTGTTCTAATTCGAACTGTGCACTGTCGAACTGTCCCAAATTGGAAAGCTGTTGCCGCCGAGCGCGCTTGCATTTCTCTTCAAATTCTCGTT